GAAGTGTTTAGTAAGAAGTGCTTTGGTCATGCATCTCTTCTATTTTTTTTTTTTTCCCCTCTCTTCAGTGGTGTGATAATTCACCTAATAATGTCTCTGTGTTATTCAAGATTACGGAGATGGTGAAGGAGGCGCTGCCCAGCACCACGGAGTGTGTGTATCCTGCCCTGGCTGGCTGCAAGGCTCCTGTTGATGTCATCTTGCCTCAGATTACATCAAACATCTGGTAGGTGGGGCTGGTGCTTTGGAAGATTCCTCTCCACCAGAAACCTACCAACCCAAATTTTCTGGTGCAAAATGTGGTGATGACACCTTTAGCCAAGTGTCTTTAAAAGGAGCGAGGTTGGTTTGGGGAAGAAAAGAACCATAACAGTTTTGGAATTACTTGAGTTGTCTTTTTGGTAAGGCAAGGAAAAGTTTGCATCTCCATTTCACATAGCAGAGCAGAGACTTATCTTGAGTTGGAGCTTTCTGTGAATTGAGGGTGAGGTGGGATTTTGAAAACCATGAACATTCCCAGCGTAGAGAGGCTGGGTGCTCAGCTGGCTGGGTTTCTGGTCTGCATTTTGGTAACTTGTCAGGACAAAGTGCAGATGTGCAGCAGGAGCTGCTCAGAATGGCCTTTTCTGGTGGGCTCAGCTCATTTTCCTCCCACTTGAGCAGCACAGGAGTGGGGTTTAGAGCACCATTCCCTGGTGGATGGAGGACAGACTGCAGCAAGGTGTCTGTGCAGGCAGAATGGCATTGGGTGTTCCTTTGTCCTTCGCTTATCTCCATGTCAGCCAGCATTCATGTAAGATTTCTTTCTGCTCCGCTCTGCCAGGCAGAAAGGACTTGACTTCTTTCTCTCTCTCCCCTGCTGCAGTGCCAGAGGCTTGGGACAGCTCATTCGAGCCAAGAACATTAAGACTGTGGGTGACCTGAGCACTTTGACAGCACCAGAGATCAAAACTCTCCCCATCCGCTCTCCCAAAGTTACCAATGTTAGAAGAGCTCTCAGAGGATATCATGAACAACAGGTAAGGTTTCATTTCAGTACCCAAAAAGTCACCATTAGCCTAGTGAACTGCCAATAGCCATCATGAAGAATAAGTGTTTTTTTCTCCCTATTAGAAGTAGCATCTTAAAATATAATCTCTACCTGTCATGGTACCATGGGAATTCAAGGTACAGGTGACTTGGTTGCAACGTTATGTTTGTATTTGTTAGGAGGTTAAAACATGTTCCACTGTCATATTTTTTCTTTCTCTCACTGAAAATCCATCTCTTCTTCAGGTGAAGTCTCGAGGATGTGAGGAAATAATAGTGCTTGAGGATGCAGAGAGGCCCCTAAATAATGCAGAGGATAAAGCTCTTTCTGCAGATGAAGAAAAACTTGCAACAGGTACCTCCCTATTGCTGGATTTTTGCTTGAGGGTGGGATGTTTCTGCTGTGTTCCTGCTTTCATTTCTCCAGTAACAGGAACAATTTTTGTGGGGGTTTTTGTTTGGCTTTTTTAGGAAGGGGGTGTTCACAGGCAACATTAGTACAGTAGGTTCTAAAATGGGCTGTGGTGTTACCCACTTCCTAAGTCCTGAAGCAATGGCTTTTTACAACTGGTGACTTATTTGGAGGGGAAAATGCTGATTTTTCTGTAAACAAGCTTGCATAAACATGCAAAGAAAAAGCTAGGCAGGGCTCCAAGTATTCCTGAATAGTGTAACTATTATCATATTCCCAAATATGATAATTTAATATGTTCCTGAATCCCAACTGGGTAAGTCTCTGGGCTGTCTTAATACCACAGGAACTGCTATGGTTGGGCATGCATGGAAACCAGCAGGATGAAGAGGTAGTTGAGAGGTGCCTCATCCTGGGGGGTGGGACAGGAGGGGAGTGATGCCTTGGATACCCATTTTGGATTTGGATGCCTAGATGTTTGTTGGAATTCTGTGCATTTGGAGAGCCTGGCGCAAAGAGGCTGTGTTCTTCCTTCACAATGGTGGAAGGTTTTGGTTAACAAAAGAACTTCTCAGCTTCCTGTTGAGCAGTTGTGCTTTGGGATAACACATCTCAGAGGACACTGGCAGTATCTGAGTGGAACAAACACCTTGTAGGCTGCTTGACCACAGGATGTTGCCCAACAGCAGCTGGAATGTTCCCTGCAGTGGGTTTGGGTGGAGCTGGAGCCCCAGGCACACCCAGCTCTGCTCTGCTTCCTTCCTTTGCAGATTTGAATACAAACGACCAGCCCTCAGGGGACCTCCTGGCCCAGATTGATGCCCTTGCTGCTCAGCTGAGCTCTGAAGATCTTCACAGCTATTCAGGCAGCCAACTCTTTGAGATGCAGGAGAAACTGGTGGGCATGACAAACTGTATCATGAAGAACCTGCGGTCCCGCTGGAAATCGCCCCCCCGTGACAGCTCTGACTAGACATGCTGAGCAACAAAGTGAGGAGGAGGATTTTGTTACAGCTTCCCCCAAACCTGCTTTTCTTACTGCTGAATTTACTCCTTAAACTGTGCATTTTGTACTATAGAAGATATTTTTAAAACCCCATCCGAGCAAAATGTGCTGTGGTTTGTTTCCCCTGTTGCCGTGTGTGGGGGCTCATTCCCTGCCGGAGGTGTTTGTAGTTCTGTTGCTATGCATGTTTCTTTCAGGGTAGGG